TGCTTGTGCAGGACACGGAGTGTGGGAGCAAGTACTGAGCTGTCCCAGAGGCTTGTTAGAGAACAGGAGGTTGCTGTGCAGTTCATGAGACCAAGGAGACCGAAGTCTTCAAGGGAGCATCCTCTGAATGTCTTCTAGAAATGTGGTTTCAAGAGGCCAAGACACCCCACAGATTCATAAACAACAAAAACAGAAGAAAATGGAAAATATCGGTTGAGGTTGTTCATCTAACTGTGACTGAGACTTAGTTTTCCTACAGGTCTAGGTGTAAGCTTTAGTCTGATGTTTAATACACCTGCTCCCTGCAAATCTGAAGTGACATTTGATGAAAACTCCTAGTACAGGTGTCAGCTGAATACACTGCACCCTCATACATTACCTCTCTCCTAATGCTGATGTTTCTAGGATGCCCATCACGGAAAATGTCCTCGTAACCATCAATGTCACATTCAGTGCTATTTCTTATAGCTGCTGGAGGAGGGATGGCTGGTGCCTTCTCAGGCACATTTTTTGGACATCCTATTATGCAATTACCTGGGTACAGGCTGTTCAGGTAGATCTTCAAGGAGATTACGGGCTGTCTCACAAATCCCCGAGCACCGATCCGGGCTTGCACAGGGCGGCAAAGCTGTCGGGACAAGTTTCGCTTGGAAACAGCTTCTGAAGGGGTGAGTCAAGCRCTGGTGAGGAACAGAAACCCAGAGCGTGCGCATGTGGGCGCATGTGTGAGATGGGGCCGGTGGGGTTTGCAGGGACAAGGTCAGCCCRTTGCAGTTGTCATAAACTTGTGCAGATTCTGCAAAAAGCTACATTTTTTTTTAACTTCCAAGAAGAGCAGGAAGCTTTAGCTTTAGCTCTAGCTTTTTAGCTTTAGCTCTTGCTTTATAGCTTTAGCCTGTTGATGCACTCAAGACGTCTGTAAATCAGTCGTTGGTTTAGGAAACCTCAATGTGCTTTACCTTGATTTCTATTAAGCAAATGTTTTGGCTCGTACTTTTGAAGCAGCACCTTGTATTTTAAAACCTCCCTAAATTAAAAGCAGAAAGAGAAATAACTTGCAAAAGGAGGCAGAGCTTTTAGGTTTGGGTTGAATGAAGTGACTGGGGTCAGCTCAAAAGAGTTTAAGGATGTTTGACCCCTTGTCACTCACCTGCACACATTTTGKTTTTGTTTTTGTTTTTTTTTGGCCAATTTTTGGTGCTGCTTTGTGCACTTTACACCCCAAGCCCCAAAGACCTTCAGCCCGTCACCAAGTCTCCCATGGCTCATCTTTGGGGTCAGGCTCAAGTCACTCCCTATTCCCAGGCAGCTCTTACCATGGCAATCCAAACACCGAGAACAACAGGCTGTCGCTTCCCAAATACACCGAATTTACACCTAATTGCATCGCGATACATGTAAATGGATGGTCAGCTCCCGTGCATGTGCTCGCACCGGCTGCGGGAGGGACGCGGGCGCTGCACGGGGGCACAGCTCCCTCTCACGACCACAGAAAACACCAGCACTAGGACTGGTTTTTGCTGAGACACGCAGCAAAGCTGCTTCATTTAGTCCGAGTAAAGGGGCTTGGTGGGGTGCTGCTCCCCGAGGGCAAGGAGGGCTCGAGGAGCRTCCAAATCCATCTGCGCTCAGAGCTGCATGGGAATGGGGAGAACGCTGCAGCTTCCAAAAAGTCAGATTTTTCATCCCAACMAGGCTCCCTTTGGCAGTGATTTCTTGTCCCTGCACTCACCAGAAATCCTGCAGCRTGTGGAAAGGCACCAAGCGATCTCTCCAGCGACCTTCTGAGTTTAAAGAGCAAAGATCTGCATTTTGCAGAGCAGGTTGAAAGTGTGTGGTCTCCCCGAGCGGAGGACATGGCCCTGGTGGGCRAGCGCCCACGAGCTGCAGGGTCCTGCTGCTCTGGATGAGATGTCAGGTCTGAGATGGTGCTGGAGATCTTGATTCTCCACCCTCATCTCCTGCAGGGATCTGAGATGATCCTCCAGAAYATCCTGCTGCTCGGGAACAGCCCTGCTCATGGTGTCCAGGCTGCTGTGATCTGAAAACCTGGCCACCTGCAGCTGGAACTGAAGGGTTTCTTCTTGAAACATGACAAGATTTTCACACTGCAGACGCCAAAGCAGCTCAGCGATCAGCAAGAGACCACAACACRTGCGTGTCCAGCTCCTGGGAGAGAGCTGTGAGGACTGGCAGGTAAAAGGGGTGACAAACCACAGCTGAGATTGAGACCCTCATCCCTGAGAAGGGCTGAGCCCTCTCTGCTTCCACCTTKATTGGGAGAACTATAAAGCAGCTGTACTTGCTATCACAGTTTAACTTCTCCAAGTCCCATCAGAACCACAATCCAAATGAGGCTAAATCAGGTTYCCAGCATGAAGCTCCATGTGCAGAGCTGGCACTTGCAGGATGCTGCCCKAGCCGCCTGTCCCGTGGGGACACGSAGGGACCCTGCTCAGGGGCCGCCCTGGATACAGGGACCCTGCTCGGGATCCCCCTGGTCGCGGCCACCGCGGGACCTTCTGCAGCCTCCAGGACCTCCACGCGGGGCCTCCCTGCAGCCTCCCGCGCAATCGCTAGATGTCCTTGCGCACACGCCAGGCACCGGGCCGTGTTTCTCTCTGCTCATGTGCACACAYGGACTTTGGCAACGGCTGCTCCAGGTTTCCGTGCTCTCCGCCCTGTGTGCTGATGTCTATCGGATCCGTCGCGAGGGGTGCTGGGCATGAGCCTCAGTGGGCAAACTTAGGCACTTACCAGACCTGAATTTGCCTTTTCCCTGAATTTGCCCTGTSCTCGTGCCCAAGGGGAAAGCATTTTGATCCGTTTTGTGTGAATGTTCCAGTAAATAATAAATATGCTCGAGCTGGAGTAACTCTCACCCAGGCCTAGGCACAAGCCAAACACCTGCACCCATAGTAGGGGTGTCGGGCCGGGTGGTGAGAGCTCGTTTCCTCAGTTGCCCTCAGCTAGGGGTTATTTCCCCTGTGCTCTCTGCATATAAAGGTCTCCACTAAAGGTTGCTGGTAAATGAGGAAGTTTCCTCTGTCCCTATGGGGAGCTCTGAAGTCTGTGGGTCTTTATCAGCTTCCTGGTGGTCAGGTTAGTGTCTAGCAATGTGCAGGGGGCCCTCTGGGGTCTTTAGATTTAAGTAGTGGTGGTGTCTCCTTATGTTGCTCTGGGAAACCTCTATGGGAGCTGTGGGGAGCTCCCCAAATGGGAGCTATGGGGAGCTCTATGGGGGGTTTGGGGAGCTATGGGGAGGTTGGAGTGCTGGAGCAGCATGATCCCAGCTCTTGGGGTTCAGCCTAGATCCTCGAGGTCAGAACTGCTGAGATGCTCATGCTGAAGGAACAGAAGTTTGAGTGAAAAAAGAAACTCCATTAAACTCTCTTTTGCACCTGAGCTCATCTTTGGATGGAGGRTGGTTCTAGCCGAGTTTAAAGGCAAACTGAGACTTAGAGCAAGAGCTGGTGCAGCTCTGTAGTGGCTATGCTTTTGAAATGGTGACTTTGGGGTTTTCCACATGTTCCTGTCCTTGCCTTTCAGATACCAATGTGGGTTGGGAATGTGTGACTGGGTGGTACCCRATGCTCCCCCACACGTCCCAGCACCAGGATGGGCTGGAACAGCCCGGGGCTCTGCTGCCAAAGCCTGTGGTGAGGGCCAGTGACTTGGTGGCCTCAGCAGGGAAAGCCCTCGTGCATTTACAGACCCGGGTACGTGTTGCATGCACATGCACCACCTCTCTGCTGCTTTCCCTTCAGTTTGGACAGCGCGTTAGGTGGGTGCTGCTGATACCCGGGCATTTTTGAGCCATGCTATAATAGTTATTATAAAATCGCCTGGTGATTTCTTCTTGCATTACAAGAAAGGGCCTTGGCATAAGTTGGTGTGGGGGCTAGAGCAGTGTTGCAGCCCCTGCCTGGACGGATGAGGTTGCTCTGTCCCCTCGTTGCCATTCCCTCCCCTCTGGAGGAGCAGCTGGATTCACCCAGGCCTGTGGGTCATTAGTAAATATTAGGAAGCCACAGCTGACATTTGCACCAAGGTGACCACAGGCCTGRCCTGCTGGGAGCTTTTAATTAAGGGAAGCTCCCTGCTGGGCTGCGTTTGGGTGGCCGTGGAAAGAAGCCTAATTCAAAGGGTGGATTAAAGGGGCTTCTTTGACCTGCTAGGCAGTGATGCCAGGGAGGAGGGTGGGGGCTTCTAATCTGCCTTGGACAGGAGGTATTTGATTCCTTGTGTGACCTGTTATTTGAAATTGCAGCTGGTGATTTGGGTCCCCTTCGAGCATGTTTATCAGAAGCTGCAGGAACGTGGGAGCTGCAGCACCTAGCCAAGGGTTAGGCTGGAGCGTAGAGGCCAGCACGGTGCTGGGGCCCTGGGCACCACGTGCACCTGGGGGCAGGAGCTCCGGTGGGGCAAACAGGAGCTCTGTAAGGAGAGGCAACAGCCCCAAACACACAGAGCAATTCACGGGGCAATTCAGAGTATGGCCTTTAGTAAGTGGTTGGTTTCTTAAGCAGTTGTGTGTCCTGCTTTGGAGTGAGCARGTGAGTGTCAGGGCAGTATTAATGGGCTCTTAATGAGGGGGATGCCCTAATGAGGGGGTCCCTAAACTCTGCAAGGTGGCTTGCTTGCATTCCTGGCATTGCCTGGCCCAGGGCTGCTGGGCTGCGGACTTGTGCCCAGGGAGGCAGCACCCAGCTCCAGTCAGCACCTCTCTGCTGGGAGCTGGAGCACGGAAAGGGGATGCAAGGATGGGAGCGGGGGTACCCCAGGGTGCCCAAACGCAGCATCCCCCCCACCCCAAAGGCTCCTTTCGCCTTTCCCCCGTTAATTAGCAAACCCAGAGCACGCCGGGGGGCCCAGGCGTCCCGCACCCGCCCGCTCGCTGCCGCCGTCGGGGCGGCGCGGAGGAGGAGGAGGAGGCGGAGGAAGAGGAGGCGGCGGCGGAGGAGGAGGAGGAGGGAGGCGGCATGAGGGCGCGCTGAGCGATGTGCGAGCAGGCGGCGCGCTCGTGCCGGGCCGGCGTGCAGAGGCTGCTGCGGAAGCCGCCGCCGCCGCCGCTGCGCCCGCTCGACGGGCTGCTCCGCTGGGCGGCCGCCAAGATGAGCGAGAAGGGCCCCGGCGCCGAGCGGCCGCTGCCGCAGCCCGGCCCCGCCGCGCGCAGGAAGGGCACCTCGGTCATCCTCGATGTGAGTTGGGGAGCCCCTGGGGACGGGGGGGTCCCAGTGCTGCCGCATCCCGCGGGGGGGTGCCCCGTACCCCCGAGAGGCCGGAGCTGCGGGTGCGTCCAGCTCTTGCACCCCGTTTTCTAGGGGCTGCCTGTCCCCACACGGGGTTTGGGCACGGGGGTGCACCGTGCACCCCGGTGTCCCCTCTGTCCTGCTCCATCCCGTCCCAGCTCCCGCGCTCCGGGATGCTGCTGGGCACCGCCGTGYGCTGGGATCCCACATCCACTCCAGCCCGTGCCTGGGGGATACGGGGCTGCACCCTGGGTCTGGCCCCCCAAGGGGCTGTGGGGAGCCCTGTGGAGGGAGTGAGGGAGGGAGGCGGCTGCTTGTGGATGTTTGGGACCTGGGAATCCCTTACCCGAGTTTGGGRGGGGCAGGCGGGGGGTGCTGGGCTTCTCCACTGTAGTTAGTTCTAGACTTCTGCAATTCAGGGCTTTGTTAGGCTGCCTGCACTTAGGTGCAATTAGGAGAAGGGAGCGGGAGAAGGCAGAGTGCAAGCAGTGCAATCCCAGAGCTGCAGCGTCTCATTACTAAGCACCCATCTCCAGATCGGCAATTTTCTGCCTTAAAAAGCGTAGCGGATTCCAAAATAACTCCCGGTGGCTTTGGTTGTGGTGCCGGGGAGCTCATGCTCRCTTCCCCCTGCCCAGGCACTGGGCTGGAGCCTCTATTCCCAGTGCTTTCCTATCGCTCTGCTCAAGTGTGGCACTTGCTGTGGCAGGTACTGCCATGGRCTGATGACCCTCAACTCATCACAGGTGTGAGCAGCTCCTGCTCCAGGTGACGGGACCYGCTGGCAGCTGCCACCGGCGGTGCYRAAWTGCTGCTTAATGCAGAAACTAAAAGGACAAAAGTAACACGGGCCYTTGCATTTAAGTTAACTTTGCTCTTTCTTTCTTGTCTTTTCCTCTCTGTTTTCATGAACAGAACTGTTCTACCCGAACAGTAACTTACTATGCAACTTTACCCTCTTAATATAGTTTGTTTTTTTTTTCTCCCTGCTTTGAGGATTGAGCTAGGAAAATGAACCTGTTCTGGACAGGGTGAATAGCTTGGCAYGGGACAGGATTTTTCTCCAAATGGGGAATTTCTGGAAGCCCCCAGACCGAAGCCTTTTCTTACCTGATCCCATCTAATGCTGTAGGCAACAGGAGCAAAGCAGTGGGTTACTGTTTCCTCACATTTGCCCCCAGAAGAGCAGTGTGTGGCGAGACTGCAAGAGAGCAATTTCCCAGTGGCGTGAAATTAATAAAATTGCCAAGAAAACCTCAATCAAGCAACCTTGAGCATAGCCTGGCTTTGAGACGGCCAAAGCGAGCATTTAAGCTCTAAACCATCCCTTTCTCTCCAAGATGATGGTTAGTGCAAACAGTTCCGATGGCTTTGCTCCTGCCAGGCAAACACGTGCAGTGGCCACTTGAGAGAACAGCAAAAAATGCCAAAAATGCCTTAAAAAAAAAAAGTCCCCCAAAGGAGCAGTATTTTGGGCTAGGAAGAGGGCACAGGGTCCTCTTGCAAGAGGCAACGGGTGCCCTGTGGAGCCTGGGCCACCTCTCCCATGGGAGCATTTCCAGAGCAGGGAGAAATTGTGGTCTTGCTGCCTGAGCCTGAATGTTGCCACCCAGCATGGAAAGCAGTTTGGGCCAGCGAATGATTAATTAAGCTGTATTGGCTTAAAGAGCAGGTCCTGCGGTTCAGCTTGTCTTTTGGGCTCCCTTTTTGATGCAGCAGTTCCTCCACTTTTTATATGCACACGGATATTATATATTTATTTATATATATATATATTTTATTTTTTGTAAGGATTTTTTTATGACCCAGAAAAATCCAAGATCCCATTTCATGGCTGGCTCTGCTCGGTGCTGCTGCAGCTTTTATTCCCTCCGCAGGGAAATCTCTTTGTACAGCAAAAACCTCTGCTCCCACTCACATTAAAAGGGTCAGGCCTGCAGAGATGATCATGTTCCTCCCTTGCCTGCCTGGGTTATGAGCATGTTAATTTTTCAGTGATTCCTGGCAAGAGCTGCGCCTGTGGTCACTCTGCACTAACCTAGCAGCTTGCACAAACCTATTGCTATTAATTGCAGTGGCTCAGGGGCTACTCTTAGCATTAGGCTCACCAGGAAAAAAAATAGCAGTTGTTTCTGCCAGCTTTTTTTTTTTTTTTTTTCCCCCCCCAGTAAATTCTCCTGTAATATCTGTTATTGCTGTTTTTTTCTTGATTCCTGTTTGTGGGCTGCTCTCGCCATGCTATGGTCTTAAGTCTAAATATAATCTTCCTTCCCACGCAGGGGACTTCAGGGGAAAAGAAAATATTTAGTAAATAGCTTAAGAAGCGCAGGGCTGTGCGGCGTGAGGAGGTGAAGCTCTCGAGGCTCTTGCTGCTGGGTTTATCCTGCCTTGACTCCCAGCTCTGCCTTCATCGGCCGGGGAGGAGGGAACAAAGTGAATTGCTCAAAGCTTAAAATCTAGCGAYGCAAAACCAGCTGTTTTCACTGCAAAAGCATCTTGAATAGAGAGCAAAAACGTGCAAAGGGGACTTCGGTCAGGAAAGTCGGGTCTCGGTGTCCCTGGCCAAGCCAAGTCCTGCCTGGGTAGGTCCTGTTTCAGGTAGGGCTCAGGGCAATGAGACCGGTGGCTCGGGTCGGGCTGAGCTTGGTTCTAGGGGCAGCAGCTTCATGATAACAAGACTCCAGACCCTCCAAGTCAGGCAACATGGTCAAAATGCTTCTCTTTCTCATTCCAGATTTTCAGAAGAGCGGACAAAAATGGTAAGTCTGCATCTTTTCACTGGATTTTTTTTCATCATTTTTTCTTGTCCCTATTACCTTTTAGGTAGCAATACCTAACTGGGTTGCTTTAAGTGTCATTTGGTTTGCCAAGTACTGGCCCTGCTGCAGCCTGAGCMAAACTGCAAAGCAAAGACGTTCGGCACACGCGTGATGCTGGGGTGCAGAACTGGTTGGATTTGAGGTAATTCTGCAAGCCTCAAAGGACCACTGCAAAAAAAATACAACTAAGCGGTAACAGAATCCCTCAATTGTAATTTTTGGAAYAGCTTTGCAAAACAGCCCTCATTTGGGATGATTAACAGCTGATCTGGACWTAGGGGTGAAGAGCCAGGGCACAACCTCTTGGTCTAGCTCAGGCTGCGCTTTGCAGGGGCTTGGCAGCCAGGCACTCAAACTAATTTTTCCTCTCCTGCGTAGGAGTGTTTTTTCCTTTCTCTGTTAATAAATCCACCTCCGGGCTTGTAATCCTCCTAGTCCTGGTAAACAATACTTAATAGATTAATTGGCATGTGGCAGCAAAAGTGAGGTATGTTGTCTTGAGCTCTTAAAGCAAAGCTGTAGAGCATCGCACAATTATCTACTGTGCTCTTTAATCCTCTCATTAGAAAGCTGTTAATCAATTATATGTTAAATAGCCCGGCAATCACTTTGCACGCTTAAGACAGCTTTGTTTTGACATAACAGCCTAATTGCTAGTGATTAACTGTGAAAAGGTCACCTCGCAGAAGCCTGAGATTTATTATGGGGGGATCTCCAGGTCCTGCAGCTGCCCTGTGCCAAGGGGAACGGGGTTTGCTTTGAATCCCAGTGTTTTTCCTGCTCTTGTGACCTGCATTCTGCAGCCAGAACTGGTCCCAAGTTGCACTTAGGGGTCCTGGGATCTCAAGGGGTCTGGGGGGGTTGGATGTGGCTCTTTCAAGTTGTRCTTGACCTAGATGATGGGTTGGGATGAGCTGATTGGGGCTCCCTGTGGCCTCCCTGGGCTGGAGGATTGAGGGTGATGGAAAAGCTTCCTCCTGTAGCTGTTTGGAGGTTAAAAATAGCAGGCAGCTATTCCTGCTTGCCTTGTTGATGAATCGAAATGCTTTAAGAAAGTTCCTTGATTAGGACTTAGCATAGTGATTGATCACCAGGTGGTTTTAAGGCCTGGAAAATGCATGCTTTCTGTCTATATATATATATATATATTTATATATAAAAAAGATCTCGATAATAACATAAATGCTTTGCACTTTTCTAGTCTTGTTTCCTCTGATCAGAGAGCACCTTGCAAATCTGGGTAATGGCAGAAAGGTCGGACCCACTTCCAGCACCGTGGGTCTCTGCCTGTCCCGGCTCTCTGTGCTCAGCTGGCTGCCCCAAGYCCTGTTCAGTTCCCAGCCCTGCGTTTTGAAGCAGTGACATCTGTTTAAATCAGGACACGCTGTTCCCAAAATAATAAACCWGATGAATTCTGAGATCATATAGCTGTTGCAAAAGGTGTCTGCCGGGCTTGATCTCCAGGCTCCCACTGGACATGACGGTGCTTTTGTCAACCCTTTAAACCCATAAACTTCCAGCRTGCTTCCAAGCAAATCAGGCTTGACTTTTGTCTTTAGCTTCAATCCCCTTAACACAGGAAGAGCCGGGAGGAGCCGGGGCTGCGGTTCTGGCTCGGGCATTGGAAGCAGATCTGATGTGGAGGAGGGWGTTTTCAAACACTCCCCGGTCTGCTTTGAAGGGCCCCAATTAAACGGAGCTGCCCGAAGGAGCTGGGGCGGCCGCTGCTCGTCCTGCTGCGCTCGGAGCCCGGGGTTTGCTCCTTCATTAGGGACGTGGCGCTGAGCGGAGGGATGGGGATCTGCAGCGGTGGCAGCTCTGGTGGCCCTGCCGCGTGCTGTGGTGGGTGGGAATGTGGGATCCTGCTTTCCAAGAGGCTTTGAGAAGTGCTTAATTAGAGGACTTTTAAAAGCCATCTTCTTCTGGAGCCCAAGCTGAGCCATTTAACAGGGTGCTGGATAGCAGGAGCATTCCTCCTTGACAGCCAGCCAGGAGCACGAGGAGCTGTGCAGGGACCTCTTGGCTTCTCTTGATCTCTAGCTCCAAAGCTGAGCCTTATTGGCAATACCTTAGTTGTGGTGGCTGGTGCTTTGGCTGAAAAGCCATCCAGCTGAGCCTGCCACTGACTGACACCGCCAGCTTAGCACCCAGGGCCCTCTTTGATCTCCCTCATTAATGCCTAACACTTCCAGAGCCAGGAAGCTCTTCCAAGCAGATCCAGCGAGTCGATACTCCCCTTGCTAAATTGTTGATGTTGTTTTTAAGCAGAGATGAAATTTTCAAGTGCCTGGTAAGGATTTATTGCGGCCTGGAGGCCTGTAGTGGTCCAGCAGATTATGTGGGTCCAGTTGATGGGGTCTGGGAGGCTCTGCTGATGGTCGCTGTCCCTGGGGTCACCTAGACGTGCCAGGGCCGTGTGTGCAGGAGGCAGCAGGGCAGCCTGTGCATTTGGCACGTGCTCGCCCTGGAATTTGGCTTCCCTTTGCCACGAGGGAGGCTGAAGCAGCTTTGATTTGGTCTGGCCCCCTTGGCAGGGGGGTATCTGCTGCCAGCACCCTCCTGGGAACCTTCTCATGTGAGCCGGGCTTCAGCTGTTTGTGACTCAGTTTAATCACGGGGATTTAATAGTCGGGTTTAATCTCTGTCCCTCCTAACCCGTGTGAAGGGCACATTTTGGTCGCTGCTTCCCTGCCCCGAGCCCGRGCAGCCCTGAACACGCAGGGCTCCCAGGCACCTTTAATTAGGCACTTTCCTCTGATCGCCTGTATCTATCAAAGGTGGTTTATTGGAGCTGTTAAAATTAAACAAGACAAAAACTGCATCCTGAGCAAATATATTGCTGCAAATAGTGCCTATAATTCACTAGCAATTTGTGCCAGACAATTGTGAAAAAAAMCAGCTCTGGCAGCCCACGTGCAGGCAAGCGGCCAGCAGCAGCCCCAAATCGTGCCTGTATCCTTCTCCTTATTATCAGTCTCACTCTTTTAAAACCCAGGGGCTACTAGATAACACGAAGCAGAGAGAGGGGAATAATTATCCYGCTGCCTTGCAGGAAGAGGGATGTCTGCAGCCAAAGCAAGGCTGTATCCAGATGTGTAACTTCCAGCAAGGAAAAATGGGGAATGGTGTAACTGRGGCTGCTCCGGTTTGAGCTCCCCAGCTCCAGCTGGGTCTTCAGTTCTGTATCCAAGGTTGGTTTCTGCTGCCGAGGTCCTTCCCTGTGTGGATCCCAGTGGCACAAGTGCTTGCCCTGCTATGGTGCGTGGTGGTCGCTAACCTCAGGCTCTGAACCCGCAGTTGGGTCTGGAGATGCTGTCCCTGGTCCCTCAGATTTGGAAACAGGAAGGGAAAACGGTCTTGTGGAGCTTAACTGGAAGAAGAGTTGAGCCCAGAGGAGTCACAGAAGCCATGAAGTGGGCACATACACAGTAAGACATATAGCAAATATACCGAGTGCCCTGCGAGTAGAGCTGATGATCAATGCCAGGACTGGCGGTGGGGGACGTGCCTCGCAAAGGGCTGTCCGTGGGGGTGCTTAAAGCTCGGGCACGACACGGGCACTTGAACTTTTCAAAACCAGTTGTTGCTCCCTAAATGAGGAGCCTGACATTTTAAAGGCCATCAGCCCCGGGAAAGGGCGACCCTGCTAAGTGCCACGCGCCGCCGTCGAGTGTCCTTCAAAGCGGCGTGTGTGTCGCTGCCTAATTGCCTGGGAAGACTCTTGCTGCAGATCTTCTCTCTCAGACAGGTTTGCAATGTGCAGGTCCTCTGGAAATGGCCAGTGTGGGGACTAATGGAGTGCGCTGGTGATAACTTCTGTGGTCCCAGGGTCTCTCGTCCCTGCCCATCTCGGCAGGGTGAGACCTCAGCCTCCACCAGCCTCATGTCTTGTCCACAGGCCCGGGAGCTTCTGTGCAAAACCAAGATGCAGGCGGATTTTTTAAATTATTTTTATTATATCAAGGAGCTTAGAATGTGGYTTGTTGAGCTGTGATCTCCCTTCCTGTGTGCTTTTTCTGACAGCCCCGTACTGAACTGAGCAAACGTGGTCGTAGAGGGGGCAATCAAACAACCCAGGCAATGCAATGGTTTTTTGTGTGCTCTTAAATCATCACAGAACAGGACTGGTCCATCACAATTTAACACAAATAATAACTTTTCCCCCCTTTTACCTCCCCTTTTACCTGCTATATTACCTGCTATGACTAGAGTTTATGTTTCAGTTTGCACTTGTGTATCTTTTTGCTCTGATCTTTAGGTCTCAGACTGCTGAACCTTTTGAGCTAGGCTGAATATTTGGGTGCTTTTATAGAGCAAGAATAAGGAATAAATGTTTCTCACAACACCTGCGCTGTGACAGGGCCCTGAGCCAGATGCTGGAGCAGAAGCAGAGTCTTCTGCGATGCCAAAGATGGATGAGGTCTGGAATTAGCTCCCCTGTAATGAGGGTGAAAACTGCAGGCAAGAGCAAGTCTATATTCGCTCTGGTGGCAAAACGCTGAGGTTGGAGGTTTTTCTTGAATGTTTGCATTCAAGAAAATTCAGCATTCAGTGCAATGGGAAATCCAGCCTCTGGTAGTAGGTGTGAATCACAGGTGGATTTGGTGGATGTATCTTGGCCAGCGATGGGTGTAGGAGGATCTGAAGGGAGYTGAGGTCCTCCCTGAGCCTTGCACATGGGCACCTTGAAGGGTGAGAGCAGCTTGGCCTGCTTGCTGAGAYGCTTTCCATGGCTAGTTTGGCACTGGAGCCGAGTCCAAACTCTGCTAGTAAATCACCTGGAAGCAAGGAGGTCTTGGTCTAGCATCCCCAGGGACCTCCCTGAGGAATAAGCCCATATTGCATATGCACRTTTCATGTGAGTAATCTGTCTAATGCTTCCCACCAGCCCAAGTGGCCCAAGTGAACTCCAGGGTGCCAGTTTTGGAGCAGCAGGGTGA